ATATGGAAAAATAATTATCGAATCATACTGCAATAAATTTAAGGATTAAGATTTATTTATTTCTAAATATATGTGTACAAATTATATTATTTCTCAAGGAATTTTTGATTTTGAAACCAAGAAACAACGTATACAAACTCTTTCGGATTCACAAATATGTGTTTCTAATTCAGCTTTTACGGAAAACGGAAACATAATTATGATTGACTTTGAATCATGTAGAGCATATCTCTTTGTTCCGGAGGGAACAGGAAATTCTCTCAAATTGGTTTGCAAATTAACAACTACGTTTAAGAAATCTCCAGATGTAAATGTTTTCATTACGCCAAATGAAAAATTACTTATATGTAATCCTTCATTAGGATGCATTACAAAATGGGATATTAAGAATCTATCATTTTGAAGTACACTTTTTCCTGAACAGCGCTTACTTGGTTCAAAACGCAAAGTTGATCACTAAAGCTGAAAAGAAAACCGCTAAAAAAATAGCACTGAATGATCGCACTAATAATGAAGAAACTTCATCTGAATTGAAAAGTTATGATGACCAATTATTATTAGTACACGCAACAAAACTCTCGGAAAAAGGAACTAGTTCACATATAATTATTTATTTGGCCAATAATGGAATGAAGTTAGTAGCTTGTAAGTTTTAAATTAAAATCCTGTAAACAATATTGTGATATAATGAAGTATACTAATTTTTGTTTATCATAGATGCTTACCCTGAATCAATAATTATCGATTCATTTGATATCATTGCATCCAGGGTTGGAGAGCGTTTACTTGTTATGTATCATGATAAAAAAGAAAATAAAGCCTGTTAAGAGTTAAGGGATCCGTATTTACGCGCAGAATCTGTTATGGCTGATAAACTTTTTGAAGTTGGTTCTTTTAAATTTCAGCACCCATGTGTCATAATATTTGATGAAACTGATAAAGTTGATAAGGTTATAGGTTTTATTGATAACGATTTGTTAATTAAAAAATTGATTAATGAAGATTGGATTAAATACTTACGGGAAGAATTGAAAGATTACAATAGAATCGTAATACCTTCTGGTGGAGAAGAAATTGTGCATATGAATAAGATGATTATTGATGCTAAACCTTTAATTGAAGACGAATTTCCTAAGATATGCTCGGGATATTTAGTTAGATGGACTTTGAATTATGATTTAGATTTAGATAAAGCCCTCCTTAAAGCAGAATCTCTAAAAGATTTGATAAAGGATTCGAAAGAGCGAGAAATGATGTTAGCTACATGGGAAAATCCAAAATTTATACTATGCAAATGTCTTCACAATGATGATTTAGTTATGATTACATATACGGACGTATATGTCTGGACACTTAATACGGAAAAAATTCAATTAATTTATTATTATTCAGAAAAAGAAGGTAGTCAAACGGTTTTTAAGGATTTAGCATTTACAGATAGCTTTCTTCCGCCACCATATATTGGGGCAGTTATTTATAGGAAAGGTTTTAATTTTGGTGATCAAGATCATTTTAAAGAACTATTAGAAACATATACTAAAGAAGAATTTTATTTAGCAGTCTATGGATCCCATGTTATGAATAAGATTGTCGGTTTTCAAGATTATGTTTTGGCAGAAAATTTCTGCAAAAGTTGTATTGAAATAAATTTCAAGGACGAAAATGATCCGACACCGAATATCCAATTATTTGGTATAATTTCTCAATTTATTTCAAAATTATCAGAAGATAACTCAATGTTTGTTGAAGGCTTTGTGTCAGAAATTTCATATTTTATGACTTTTGACAAATACTTTTTAACACAAAATTTATCAAAAGTAACTGGAATAGAACACCTCCATGAATTTGGTATTCATAATCAATTATCTACATTATCAAACATAGATATTTTTATGAGCAAAATTTTTTCAAAATTTAATTTTTTGCTGCAGCTGCCTAAAATTTATCTCATAAAGCCGATTAAAAATCTTATGAGAAACATTTTGTTGAAAATAAAATCCCTGTATTTTTAACATTTCCTTTGCCAAATTTTGTAAATTATCCTAAAGATTATAATTTTTGGAAAGAATTAATAAGTCCGGAATCTAGTGTTTTTACAGAAACAATTGAAAATTCAGGACTTTATAAAACCTGGAATGGCGAAGCACTTGTCAATTTTAAATGGAATACATTTGGTAGAAAATATTATTTTATAATATGGGCAATATATACAATTTTTCTTTGTAGTTTTACGATTGTAGCAACTTTATCTAATACAATGTCTTGGAACAGTCAGCAATTTTTCTTATTTCTTACTATTATTCTCGGATTCTGGCATTTGATTTTTGAAATTCGTCAATTTATATATTCTCCATTAAAATATATCGCGAGTCCTTGGAATTATTTTGGTAATTTTTTTTTTATTTGAGATAGTTTATTTTATACAGTTATATCGATTTTAAAGTTTATTTATACATCTATTTAAGACCTTTTGGCCATATTATTTTCTACAATAACATCGACCATGTGGTTAAAATATGGCAGTGTTCCGCCTTGGGCTATTACTTATTCAACGTTATTTCTTGAATTAAAATTTCTTCTTTATTTTAGAGCTACATCATTTGTTGGAGTTTATTTTGCTACTATTATTAAAGTTGCGGAAAAGGCGTTTTCTTTTTTGGTATTATTAGGATTTATCATATTCGCATTTGCCCACTCTTTACATCTTTTATTACGACCTGCTACCGAAGTGTCTTTAGATTATCCAAGTTATTCATCTGATCCAAATGATCCTTGGAATTTGGTTACAACATATAATTCAATAACTTCGAATAATACTATTGAAGAAAATCCATCACTTATTGAACCACCAGATGCAAATACAAATATGTTTATGTGGTTTGATTCATCGATTTTGGCAGTTTATGTAATGCTTACAGGTAAGTCATTTTATATATAAGATTTATACAATTTGAAATTATTAATATAATACATTACAGCATTAATACAATTATTTAATATAGGCGATTCGACCCCCATTTCATATTGGACTTTGCGTGATAATTATTCTTTAACTGTAATAATGGTTCTATTTTCATTTTTCACAACCATTTATTTAATGAATCTGTTTATCTCATTACTTGGCAATGCAATTGATGAAACGACTACAAGAGAATCTTTTCTAACACTAAGAGCAGAGGTACAATATGTTGTAATTATTTTGTTTTAAAAGTTAGAATTAATAACTTAAAATACATTTAGGTTTTATCTGAAATTGAACTATTTTATTTGTTACCTTATCAAAGAAGAAAATATGATTGGTTTCCAACAACTTTGTATGTAAACTTATAATTGTGTTAATTTTCTTTTTTAAAATATATACATCTATATTAATTCTATATTGATAATTTAATGATTAAGTTATTATATTGTTCATTTCCATGAACTTCGGAATGAAATTCGCAAAATTGAAACTGATGAAAAGAAATCAATTAAAAAAACCAAAGGTTTCACCAATTCTTTCAAATGCAATTCAAGGAGAAGCCGGAGAACTTGATAAAAAATTGCAAAAACTACATGATAAAGTAGATCTTCTACAAAATGAAATGAAAGAAATGAAGGAGGAGATACTTAACGCACTAAAGAATAGAGCGTAGAATTTACGGTTATATTACATACACATTCAAACAACTAGTGCTATGGATGCTTATATAAGAAATTATTGAATAACCTGTGTCACCGACAATTTCGAAATTAACGAATAACCTGTGTCACCGACAATTTCGAAATTAACTGGAAATAAAATATTTCAAATAAATTTTTTTTTTTTTTTATCAATCGATAGCATAACATCAATTTGTGTGCTTCAATCTTATAAGATTCAGTTTTTGCTTAAAAAATGGCTATTTCGTCTATATCGTGTCACTAGAATTAAATATTTTTCCTGGTTCACAAATAAAAATTTTCAGTTATTCATGAATTAAATTCATACAAGATAAACAAAAATAGGGTTCAGGCATATTTTGACATAAATGTGAATCGTAAGTATTAAATATAAGCACAATAATAAATAAGGCAAGTATAGCTTTTATTTGATAAATAATTTATTTATTTGAAAGTAAAAGAGGTTCCTCTTTACTATTAGTGAATAGCAACTCTTATATAGAGCTTTACCATCACTAAAGGGAAAAGAAAATCATTACACAAAATTCGGGTCCGGAAAAAAAAGCCCGTAATACGTGTTTTGAAATTTTTGATTGTTGAAAAGCCTGTCAACGAAGTGACAGGGCGAGATCAGATGACTTTATAGTCGGTCACATTCCACTAACCATAACTGCATCAAAAAGGTAACCCTAAACCTCACTCCGTTTTAACCAACCCGCTTATTTGGAAGGATGTTAAAGCGAAGCAATTAAAATTAGGGTTATGATTGTTCAGAATTTAGAGATTATAGGTAAAATTGCTCTCCCGACATTTTTAGACATTCGTTTCTTGTATTTTCAGGTTTCTGTTTTTCTTTGCTTCGCAAAAATTTTACAATTTGATTGGCTAATCTATGTAGATCGCCTAATTTGAATAGTTAATTCATGTAGACCACCCAAATAAGGATGTATCTAAAAAAATCAAATCTACACTAACACACTTACACAGTGCAATATGAAATCCAACAATTGCAAGACAAATTATGATATTTAATCTACATTATACCCCTGGACACTATATCAAGATCGTAGGGTATAAATCAGTTATACATATTTATAAGCGGAGTTTTCATTCCACTTAACTCACACCACCAGCTCAAGATCATGAATTTTGATTGTTTCTTATTTAATCATCTAATTAAAAATGATTTCGGTTTATATAGAAATCATAAAATCCTTATTTGAGTCTAGTGCAGTAAATTCATAAATATAAATAGAATATGCCACATAATTCAAAGCGCAACCCCTGAATGTGCCCATAGAATAACCCTATTTATATAGTAACTTTTATATTGCCTATATAGGATTAGGCAAACTACAGTTTGGTACTTACTTTCAAATAGTCATTTATCTAGTCCATTCCCTCATGAGACATAGCGAATATGGGCAATATAAACAATATAGATATTACAAGGATGATAGTGAATAAAGAATAAATAAACATTAAAAGCGTTATGTAAATAGTATAAATTTATTTTCTACAGAAGTACTGATTTTAGAGTACACCTAATAAGTCGTTGATCCAAGCTTTCTATAAGCAGTATAAATTAATCCAAATCTTGTCACGCCGCTCGTCAAATCTAACTGTCTTTCGACCCAAACCCAATCAATTAGTTACACAAAGCCGGTTTTGTAAAGTGATGAACTCGCCATTTTAAAGATTAGGTTTAGTCTTTTCACATGAAATTTTGATTCAAAATAACATTATTGAGCACTTGCAAATTTTTGCTATTGAGACGTAAAGTACGTTATTGATATTGCATATTTCAATCCCTCAATTTTCCCATGCAAAAACGGAATAAACATTTATCATTCAATCTAAAATAAGAAACGGTCAAAAAACAACAATGAATAGTATATTACCATTGTTGTATCCAACATATTCCCCCTTTTCATCTTGATATTCTTCTAACGATCTTAATGTATTCTTTTTTATTGATAATTCCAAAATTAGATAAATCAGATCATATGAAAAATGAGTGCCGCTAAGGGAAAACCTGTCATCGGACTTTCAAAGATATTTTGTGTACAGTTAGTCATCTACGGAAAATCTATCGTTATGATAGATTTTTCATAACGGCTTACTGTACACAGAATATAATTGAAAGTCCGATGACAGGTTTTCCCTTTGCGGCACTCATATGAGATCAGTTTCGTACG